AGTTAAGTACTTCTGTTTTGAAGCTCTGTTTTTCACAGGAGCTACAGTATCCAGTGTCATATTTAGTAAGGAGGTAAAATGATAAACTGTTAAATGTTCAGTTTGCATTAAGACTTATGGCACAAAGTGAAAAGATTTTCTCTTAGAGGTTAGCTTCGAATGTCTATTCAGTTTAAATTGATGGTGAACTGTGGCTGGGCTGTTGCATAATGCATAACTGTTCTCCAGTGGTGTTAGTGTCAGTCATTATGGGAATGTACTCTTGTATAAGTTTGATTAAACCTGCAGTCAGCTGAGGTTGAAGATGTCACTCGGATGAGCGATAAAACGTTTCTCCCACTGAAAACCCAACATCCAGATGCACAGAGTCAACTTTTTGGGATTCCTTTGCTTTAGTGTAGCAGACCATGTATAATATAGAAGATGTTCACACGCAGTCTCATTAACTGTTTTCAGTAATACAGATGGAGGTTTATCAGAGGAGGAGACTTGATTATTCTACACTCACACTGGCCAGGGTCCAAAGCTTGTTAAATAAAAAAGAGTAAAATTAAATTTCAATAAACCAACCATAATGCCAGCTCATATGCTCTTAACGCTGCATCTTTAACTCTTTTATAGGATTTGCAGTCTTCTGATTCCCGATGAGCTCCGTAAGGGACTGACTGTGTTTACTCTTCTGTGTATTAGGAGTAGGTACGGGTGCAGAGGAAGGCTGTGTCCTGGCTGACTATTCATGAAAAATATAATCTGTGTTACAACAAGATTGAAATTGAGACTCGGCATTGTTTCCCAATCTTCCAAGCCCATGTGAACTGTAGCCTCAGCTTTCTGTTCTTAGCTGACAGGAGTGATCGCAGAACAGATGTGTTATAAAATTTTGAGCAATGTCCTTGTACGATATTTAAGCTGCTGGTAAAGTGAAGAAAGTAGACACTTTAATCAGCCCACTCCTACAACCTGAAACGTGTGAAAGTCTAAATATTTATCAGAGGGGCTCACTAAAGATCAGCTGATTTCAACAGGACAAAACTGCTTAAACTACTTCAATCTCCCAGTGTGACCATTGGTGCAGGGCAGGATGAGGGTTTGAAGGTCAGTTCCTGCTATTGCAGCATCACTGAGTTTCTATCTTAAGATAAACACCATTTATTTTTGAGGTCGGCTTTGATCAAGAACATAAGTATAGCCTGCATGAAACAACCAGACCAGGAGGTTCAATCAAGAACATCTGACACATATCTACTTGACACGAAAGCAGTACACACTGAACTCGGGTAACATTTGTTGTTAGAGGAGGTCAAAAAGTGTGTCAGTGAGAAATATCCATCAAAAGCATGATTTACACTAGCTGCAGCTCACAGTCAGCAACTCATCAGTTTTGTTGTTCAAACCAAACAAGAATTTTTCACATCATGTAGTCCTGCAGGAACTCACCGGATCACCTCTCCAGCACTTTGATCCCAAGACAGGAAGTGGTCAGAGCTATCATGGTGATATTCAGGGTCAGATTCTGTGCTAGTGCAAAACCTTCTTTTGGCCTGAAAAAGCTGCTGTGGGGTTTACAACAGAGGTGCAATTGAAAGCCTGCAGGTCAAATTAGCGTCAGGAGTGGAAAGTTCTCTGGGTGATCCAACAGTGCGTTAGTTGATATACAAACATGCAGTGAGAACATTTCAGTAATTAGCTGTTAAGTGTCACCCAAACATGAGGAGGAGCCAGTGACGGTTTAACAAAAAGAACACAGTGTGAGGTTTACATGTTTCTCTCTGAGAAAAAGTGAAGTCGATGTGTTTCTATTAGTGTGAAATCCTTTTTAGAAATTAGGCGCTGTGTGAGGTCATTTAGTCAGAGTCAGTGAATCTTTCAGTTGTAAAACACATAAAAAGAAACAACATAAGTAACGTATGTTTTTTTCCGAGGGTGGTGGGGAAGAGGACTTCATGTGTCCGTTTTATTAGATATGTTGTTGTAACTGTTTCAAAGTCAGTAATGCAT